GTAATGGTCAAGGTTTGCTTTTTAAAAGTAGCTCAAACTCCAAGGTCAAAGGGTCAAAGTACTTTGTATCCAATGAAGGGTCTTCTCCCAAGGATTACATAAATGATATGAGATCACTAGCCCTTAGCGTTAAGAAGTTAATGCCAAGGTTTTAAGTTTTTGCATGAGTACAAAACCTCAAAGATCAAGGTCAAAAGGACAAGGTCATTGGTTTTCAATGAAAGATCTTGCCACATAAAATACATATGTAAAGTATGAAAGCCCTAGCTCTAACCGTTCAGAAGTTATGGCCAAGGTTAAAAAATTTTAAAAGTAGGTCAAGCTCCAAGGTCAAGGTTTAAGGGTCAAAGGTCTCGCTATCAAATGAAAGGTCTTGTCACAAGGATTAAATGTATAAAGTATGTAAGCACTAGCCCTAACCCTTTAAAAGTTATTGTCAAGGTTTGCATTTAAAAGAGGGTCAAACTCCAAGGTCAAAGGTAAAAGTTCTTGGTATCCAATGAAGGGTCTTTTCACAAAGATTACATACGTGAAGTATGAAAGCCCTATCCTTTGCCGTTTAAAAGTTATGGACAAGGTTAAAATTTTTTTCACAATTACGGAAATCTCTAAGGTCAAGGTCAAAAGGTCAAGGTTGTTGGTATCCAATGAAAGGTCTTTCAACAAAAATTACAAATGTGAAGTATAAATGTTGTGGTATTTACTGTTCAAAAGATATGGCCAAAGTAAAAGTTTGGAATTTTTGTGTAAAAGTGGGTCAAACTCCAAGGTCAATGTCAAAGGGTCAAATTTGGTGATACCCAAAGGAAGATCTTGTCACAAGGAATACACATGTGACATATGAAAGTCATAGCCCTACTAAATCAAAAGTTATGGGCAAGGATTATGTTTTTGCGGACAAACAGACAAACAGACAGACAGACAGCTGGACGGACGGAGGGACACGACAAAAACTATATACCCCCCGAAACTTCGTTTACGGGGGCATAAAAAACGGAATTAGAAATTCTTGATGTCTGATGTTATCCCATTAAGCTACATATATGTAAGCTTCCTGTGAGATTTTTCGGATAAAGAAATAAACAAGTTGTGTTTAGATCCACTCCCATACAGAAGGCAAATTTATAGATCCACTCCCATACTGAAGATCAGAGATCCACCTTCTCAATTTTTTCTTACCTCTTTACAATCAATTTAAGAAATATTAAATTCTTCTTTCCTTTCAATTTCCTGTTTTTCCCGAGAGACAGTATTTACATCACATAATATTGTCAAATTAAATCCAGTGCCTACCAACAATCTTTTAAATTTTTCTTATAACATGTATATCTAGTTTACATGTAGATAAGTCAATGCATGCAAAACTAAGTTTGAAGAAACAGTCCCCCATAATAATTCATCGTTTTAATAAATCTGAATTTCTCTGGGATGTTAAAAAATAGAATGAACTTTATTCCTATGACCGAAAAATAGTGAAGTGAAATGTGTTTTAGATAATTATAGGTTAATAGTCATTTATATGAGCGAAAAGTTAAACAAGTACCTAATATTTTGTAAATTAGATTAATTAAGGATTTTGTTTTATCATTTATAATAACGATGTTTAAAATTCTCATATTATCTTTAGAACTTACTCTGTATGTGCAATGTGTAGAGATGACGAACAGTATTCATGCTTAAAAGTCCTTTAAACATTACAAAATAGGAGCGGAGGAAACGTGGACCTCCAAAACATCAGAGGTGGGATCAGGTGCCACGGAGGAGTGAGCATCCCCTGTCGACCGGTTACACTCGCTGTGTGATGTTCGCAAAAAATAACAGGTAAATCCACGGACAATTTTGTATGTAAATAATGACCTAAAATCAATTTTGCAAAAGGCCAGTAAGCATTTGACTTAATGATAAATTGCATTTGCTGACAAGGTCATTGTATCGACCATAGACCTTACGAAATGATGACTTTAAACGAGATTGCTGATATTTGTACTTCATAAACTTGTTTGTCAATAACAAGTTTATCGTTTTAATCGTTTCAGAAATTGTTCATACGTAAAACATGCTCTTTCGTATCGAATCAATTAATCTCCAGTCATTCCATTTGTATAACAAGCAATCATCTTATAACTTAATTGTCAAAATTGCTTTCTCATGATGTTTTCTTTGAGGTCGTTTTAAATATTCTAAGATGAGTTCATTGCATGATGTAAATCATCCTCTGAATCGTGAAAGATATATGTTTGTTCAAAAGTTTTTTAAGGATTTAAAATATAATCTGAACATAGTGTCTATCAGTTTAAGTTACTCCTTTTCCATGAGTGAAGATTTCTGACACTAAAAACGTGTTTACTAATACATAACTTAATCTCATATTAAAAGTTGCTAAACATTTTATTGTACAGACAAGTGCTCTTTAGTTGATATTAAAAAGATGCTTGGGTTTCTGTTTGACAATATTTGGTTTCTGGAGATCAATCCTTCGAAATCCGTCAGAATTCCCATGAATACCAAAGGAGTCATCACTCCTCGCAAAAGTCAATTTGCTCTCCGTTATCAGCACACCACTTTAAGTATTCAAATAAAACACATAATAAAAAAAACTTTACTTGAGAAGAATTCTCTTGTTGTGACCTTCTATTCAACATTTAAATACATCGATGACGTCAACATGTCGCACTGTGAAGAGCGTCGTCTTCTATAGAGTCACAGAGTAAGGAGTTGATCCTTACGTCGCGGGTTCGAATTCAACTGTGGGACGTGGAGACCGGTCCTTCAGATGAGACCGTATTAAACAAGTTTTGTGTCGATTTAGGCACTGGCACAAAAAAAAAGATACAATTGCCATGTGTGCCGAGCATAGGTCAAAATTTGCAGCTGTCCACCGGCAAGTGGTGGTATATCTCCATATTAGAGTAAAGTTTTCGAGAGGGACATTAAAGAGAATACAATCAAACGCATTTAATTGAACGCTCTTCGTTATAAAAACGCGTCATGGTGATTTTGCTTGATGATTACGTATGTAATGAACTGTTTCTTTGTGACTCTACCTTTGTAAAACCCAGTTTCTTTTTTCTTTACAGTCCATCAATTCTTTGTTAGCTGTAGGATCTCTGCTAAAAACCGTATTTTACCTCTGAAACGCACAGAGACTGAAATATTTCTATGACAATTTTGTCCATAAGAAATATCTTTCAATTTTTTATCTTAAATTTTCTAATTAAAAAAACTTTATATTTGCATCTGTTCAACGGCAGAGATTTTGAAGATTGTTCATCCGAAGGGGGTAGTCCGAGGAAAGAAATTATGACAAAAATGTGTTAACAAATTTTCTGCGTATAAAAACGTATTATCTCATCTTCTACAGAATAAAGATCGAGATCAATTCAACACTTACTGAAGATCACGCGTAAATAGTTTGCATGAAAAACTGTTATTGCTTTTAACAATAAGGGCGCTTATTTTCTTTCCGTTCCAACTTCCTTTTCTTTTCATCTTCTATTGAGGTTTTCTTACGGCGCCTAGATTACGTAAATATCAAAATATGTTATGAAATCACCCTTGTGGCCCGGCGTAGGGTGTCAGAATTTCTCCTTTGGCCATTACACATTTCTAAGCTATGGATGTGGAAAGGATATTTCATAAAGCTAGTAGATCGTGGTGTTTCGATAGGGATGAAAAACCTTTGGCATACTGAGCTTGCTTATTCCTAAACAAAGCGAGATTTGATCTGAATACGATGTAATGAAATATTCTATGATAAAATCAGTCAACATTCAATTTAATGTTTAATTGTGTCAGTTGACAAGGTCATTGTTTCGATCATAGATTTTGGGAAATGTCCATTTTAAAGGAGACTATTGATATCCTTACTTTACCAATTTTCCCCTAACTTGGCAATTTTCAAAAATTGTACATATATAGAGCATGCTCTTGAGTATCGAATCAACTGGTGAGGGCCATAAATTCAATATGCAGGAGATAGTGGCATATTGCAACATTTAAAAAAGGGAAAATGCTTACGATAGAAAATTTTATGTCATCATCTTTTCCAAAAAAGATTTATTGATATGTTACCATTAATGCCTTTTGTTAGTAGAATATCCAAATACAAAACAGAAGTATCAGACTCCGAGGCATCTTCTATTTCGAGTTCAAATAGATATGTCGAATCAAAGTAGGGATAGAAATGAATACTGATATTACATGTAGGTGTACAGTAAATGTATGATAAATATTGAAAATGAAATCAGCTTGTTCTTCTCTTAGGAGTCCATCCTCTTTGCCTCATTTTGTTCCGTTTGCATCCTTGTATGACGTCTAAATGCGTCATTTGGATGAGTAATTCTCTGACCTTTTAAATTATAAATAAATGACTTTTGTGTGGTACTAAAAAAATACATAATACGCTAATGTTTATGGCAAAATAAAACGATCTCCATTTGTGCGAGATGAAACCATAAACCTCTAACATTCTATCATATAGGTCCTATTCATGTATTTGGTTGCGAGATCTGGAAAGTAAATGAAAGCAATGAAAAGAAACAAGATGTATTCAAGAAATGATAATAAAATGACAACAAAAACAACAGAAAAATTCAAATGAAAGTGAGTACAACACCGCCAATCCAGGGAGGACAATGCACAAACCATGTACTGTAATGGATAGGATAACTTCAAAAGCGGATTACACCAGGATAAGTCTTCTAAGGCTTTAAGACGGAGGGATGAATGTGTCAAGGAAGACCAAAATACTAGTATCTTGGTGGGGAGAGGCAAAGGAAAACAAACATAAATTTACGAATAGAAGGTATGAACTGGAGCAAAAATGATGGCGACCAAAGACGAAGGAAAGGATCGAATATGGAGATGTTTTGTGTCAAGGAACAAAATGACAGGATTGCTTTGCAAAATGACCACAAAACAGGGAAAATAATTTTTGGCAATGACAACAATAACATTCAATGATTTTGTTTTAATTTTAACAAAACAACAATATGAGATGATAAGTGCATTTTTAAAATTTGCGCATAAGAAATCTTTTATACATGACTTTCCGAAGCAATCTGTCTATTCGGCCAATTTCAGTCTCCTCTACGGGACGCTCGCCTTTCATGTAGGTCTTAAGCAACAGTTTATGCTTCTGTTGTGCTGCCATCAGTTCACTAGAATTAAAGCAGAGAAGCGAATAAAAAATACTTCCTAATAATATTGTAGTTATGATCATTGTCTAAGTCATCTTAGGTTAGGAAATGCGTCGTGTAATGAATTCTAAATATGGAAAAAAGTTGTGGGCTATATGTACTTTATGTAAATAATCTGCATATGATGTTAGATATATTATTTACCCAAAGTCGATTTCTCCGTCTCCATCCTTGTCCATCACGTCTATCAGTTTATTTAATGATCTTCTATTCATGGGAATATTTACTTGCTGAAAAACAGAACAAAACCTTAAGGAAAAATCAGAACCATGCATTAACAATATTATTACTTGTAGGCCTATTGGACTTTTTCGAAGAGCGCTGACTTTTACAGTCGAGGGCTTACTCTTACACTTGGACAATATTCGGAAGCTCTTTTGCAATAAAAATATTTAGCTCAACATTTAATTATACGAAAATAACGGACTGAAATAAAGCACATATAAGTTGCACATGAATAATCCGACGATCACCCTACCCGCAAATACCATCCTTCACATGTTAGTGCCCCTAACACCATGCCTATGACCACTAGAAAGGTTTTCTTATGTATTATCAATTCTGTACCTCCGTACATGATACAGATTTAAATGTCGAAGTAAACCGTCAACTTTAGAAGTCATCGTCTTCTCAAAAGTCCAATATAATACCGGTATGAAGATTTTTGTAATTAAGGTTCTTTTCACTTAAAGACTGAATGATAAACAATTTAATAAAGGAATAACAGAGTTGGCACACCAACATACAGCGAGTCCTTTGGAAAATTCCTCCCTATCCAGTGATCCACTATTGTCTGTATCAAGCTGTTTAAACATGTCTAACAACCGGAAGTTTTGTAACCGCGCATACTCAAACAGAACCAGCAGAGGATCTTCGTTAAGGAGATCCTCCTCTTCCGGATCTTGGTCAGAGCTGGCCAATGATTGACGATCAGTGGCCCACACCATGCCGTATATAACTGTGAAGGGTTTCCTGATCTCCTGAAGCTTTTTGTAGAGGTTTTCAAATGTATCCATCACCGGTGTATCCTGTTAGAAATAATAGATGAGTTTTAATTGACAGCGATAAAGTTCATCCTAATGTCTAATTCTTCGAAAGAATGATAATTTATTTTCATTGGAAATTCTATTACAAAGATGAAACACCAAAACTGTAAATTACTTACCCCTAGATCTAACATCTCCAATGCTATGCTTGGGGTGTTCTCTATACTTTCAAGAATTTTATAAGCACCAGGTGGATATATCTGATTTTGTGCAATCTAAACATAAAATAAACACTTAATAACTATTAATATATAAAAAAAAATTCTTCAAAACTAAACACAAAATAAACACTGAATAATCATTTATATTTACAAACAATTTTACCAAAATTGGATTACAATAAAATTGTAATGAAAAGAGGGGAGAAAATCAAATAAAGACTTTGAGAAAATATAAAGTATATTTACTCTGAGGACTTTTAATGTTGAGTTCTTCTTAAGTCCATTCACTAAGATTTGAATACATCCATCTGATAGTCTGTTACAACTTAAGTTCAGCTCTAATAGTGTGGTGTTAATCTCCAATGCTTTAGATAAAGTGAGAGCACCGCGGATGTGAAAACCATTCCATGAAATGTCTAGTTTTTCTAAATGTCGGTTTACCTAAAGGAAAAAAAAACTCAGATATTGCAATATTCCACAAAATTATAGTTGTATGTATACATATTGTAATAATAAAAAAAATACCAACGATTCAGCATACCTGTAAAGCAGCCCCTATTGCCATTGCACCACGCATGCGTAAATGATTCCAGCTAAGATCAAGGACTCGAAGAAAATCGTTGTTGCCTGAAATATATTGATGGAAAATAATAATATTAAAAAATAATAATTGTATGACTTCTTAAACAGTGGTTGTTTTAGAGTAACAACACAATGCGAAGTTAAAACAAAAAATGCAGGTAATGATGTCTTGCTTACCTAAGCCATCAGCGAAAATTTCTCCTCCGACTTCTTGAAATTTATTGTGACTTAAGTAAAGCTCCCTCAAAGCATGGTTTTCCTGAAGATAAATCGTTATTGTGAAATACGACCTCTTTAAGTCATATTACATTGACTCTTCAGCTTTTTCAGATTTCTACTTACATCAAGCATATCTTTAAAATATTTTGCGTCTTCCTCATAAAAACCATTTCCTGAAAAAAAAGATTTTTAATTAAAACAATATTTTTAAATCGTAATAGGTCACTGATTTCACTTTCACAAATCATAAAGGTACAAAAAGCGACCATATATTGACTTGATATTGCTCTTCATGTTTTAACTAAACAAAAGACTTCAAAGGATCACTTCATTATAAATAGGGATCTGACCTATAGGACCGGGCTTGGTTTTATTCTCTACAAAAAGCTTGTCGATATCCGTTCTGATTAATGACATTAGGCTGAATACATATAACAATTTGTTTTTCCTAAATCTTTATTTCAGTGAGTAGAGATAGGAGGAACCCTTTTTATTGATTTTCTGAGTTTATCTCCAAATGTAATAACTGATATTTGTCTTTACTTCTCATCATGCATAAAGGTAATGTCTACTGCCTCTGAAATTCTATTCTTAATGTCTAGGCTATTTATCCGTGGATATAATAAAATCTTGTCTTTAATGTGTGCAAATTATAAAGGCCTACATGAAATCCAAGTGAGTGCATCTACTGAAATATGAAGCCAAAATCAATGTGATTAAATTCTAAGGGATATATACAATTGAAATTCATCGCAGCTAAATGCTGCCAGGAATACCTGTATTGAGTAACACATAGTGAGTTATTCTTGTCCTCGGAGAAAGTGTGCTTATACTGAGGTTTGTTCCACCTGACTGACAACTGTACCTTGGATTGTTACGATTTGATATCTCTTTAGTGTTTCTTATATCAAGAATGGGAATGCATAAGGGATAAACAATTGAAGGAAAAATACACAAGTCTATAAAAAAAATTAAAAAGTCTTTGAAAAGGCGAAATTTAAAACTGTAAAGTGTTGTACCAGGTGGATTCGAACCCCCGACTTTAAAAAGAGAGTATCCAAGGTGTAAAAAGTCAGCGTATATATCAACTGAGCTAATCTGACCATAAGAATTAATGGCATAAATTTAGAGAAGATTTTGAAAATCTGGTTTCCTTATTTTTTGTAGGTTTTTTGTGAATTTCGACCTCAGGGCAGGGGTGCCCCTAAAAAAATCTTATCTTAAATTATTCCTTACACCCTAACCTATCAAAATATCATAATTTTATTTAGGGGCAGGCCTGCCCTGATGGTCTTTAAGGCCAAAATTCATGCAAAAATCAACGCTTTAAAGGACAAAATGGTGTTTCGATCAACTTTGGAGGGTTATTGTAAAGTTGTAAATAATAAATTTTAGGTATAAAATACAAATTTAAAAAATTTAGACATATATACGGTAGAAAACAAGAAATAAAGATTGATTTTTAAATGTCACTTTTTCCGGGAAATTGTTCTCTCCTATAGGTCAATTCTTTTGTTAAATCGAATACATCCTTTCAAAAAATTAATAGAGATTCATTTATGCTTACATGCAATACATGTCTTTTAGAATCATGATATACTATTCAAAAAATACCTTTTAAATCGAGTCGACGAACATATATATATATATATTTAAACATAAACTTGAAACTTCATATTTAGAATATGTTATACAAAGCCTATTAACAGATTTATTGAACAAGTTGCTATTTTAATTGTATCATTATGTTGTATGTGACTCCCTTACTATTTCTGTGAGGAATTCATTTCGGGATATTGCATCTGAAAAACATCTAGCACCATAACCACCAAGTTCATTGCTCTCCAGAACAAGAGTTTCAATTGTAGTATTGCGCTGCAATGGAAAAAAATTGTTTATAAACTTTTTTGTAACTTAAAATTCCTACAGTTATGTTGATAAACATACAATAAGTATACTTTTTTACGCAATATATTGTTATGGGTTTTTTCAAAAATATTATTGTACACATATTTCTCATCTTTTTTATAAAAGGAACATAAAAAAAAAATTAAAAATTTTAACATTAAAAAAGATGGACTATAAGGATAATAACAGTCCGTTGACATTTTGGTTAAATACAAGTTGAGTAAAACAAATTACCAATAATCCTATTGCACAAGCTTTTGATTCTTTCTTCTTCAGAATGACCCCTACAATGGCCAGTTTCTCCGTGTCTAACGCCTTATACACGGCTTTGATGGGCGTCAGTCTCATTTCTTTACACGCCTCCATATACATTTTCTGGCTGACGTCTTCATCATCAGACTCGCTAGCCGATAGATCACTGTCAGCTAAAAAGAAATAGCTATTTGTCTCACAAGATATTACATGACTCAGTAATTCATCCAAAGCTGCTTATCAAACGAAAAAGAAGGCTCATCTTCTCCTCTGCCTATGTGAGTACAAGCAGCAATAAAAAACATGTTCTAAGGTTTTTTCTTGGAATAAAAGGGCCATCTTTCCCTATCTTTTTTACACATTTACATGCAATTCAATGGGGTTGAATTCTGATAATTAAGGTGATCTTCCCTCCACTTTAACTTGCTGAATTCCACAACGATACATTTGGGTTTTATATGGAAAGTCTAATTTTAATCAAAATCTACTTATTCATACCGTCAAAATCGAAGTCCTCGACATCTTCAATTTTTATCTTTTGTTTCCGCTTTTGTAATAATTCGGCTTCTTTTTTCCGTTCTTCCTCAATCCGAATTTGTTCCATTTCCTGCTGGACCTGAAGGTCTATTTCCGCTTTTCTTATTCTGGTCACTTTGTTTGGTGGTTGTTTGGAGGGGGTGGAAGAACTGGAGGGAACGGAAGAATTACTGGAGAGTCGGTACCTTGCAGCCATTCCTAAGGAGGTCGATTTCAATGTCCGGCGGGCCTCCCTCTTTGCTGGTGGTGTTACCATCTATTGAAATTAGAAAAGGTGAAGCTGGTGTCAAGAAACTTATTATATGTTGATAATGAATGAGAGTCTGCAATAGAAAATATCGATTATTTAAAAAAAGTTTAAATACAATTTAAATTTTTTATGTATACTGATCAATGGTCAGAGCAAACACTTTTATTTTTGTGGTGGCTGATTATTCTCTATATGTATAAAACAATTGGATTGGTCATTTAAACAGTCGGAAATTGGCTTAATGTCGAACAGATCAGATCGTAAATCGACATCTGAAACTTGAGACACTAAGTACATTATGCAATTCCAAAAATAGTCCAGTTATTAAGGGATTTAAAAAGCACTTTAAGGACCCAGTGTTTCTTTTGAAAAAGTACAAATGAATAGCGACAATATACTGTGTACTGACTATGGAGTCAATATAACCAGAAACAAATGCAAATTATATTAAACTTCAAATTTAATTTTCATTTACGATGATAAATATTGGAAAGTCATCAGAAATTGAAAAGGGATTTTAATAAAGAGTATTTAAAGCTTCAAACAAATTGCCAGTAAAATGCTTAATGATACAATTGACTTCTGTAGGCGTGTTGTACTAAATGAATTCAAAATCTTCTCCCCAAATAAAATGTTTAAAAAACCATTTGTCTCTAACCCCGATAAAAAAAATTATCCTAAGAAGGTTGACTTTACAAACATCTTCCATTTTAAATATGTTGCAAAAAGAACATATGATGGAAGCTTTTACATTGGTCGTAAAGCTTCGTAATACGTACTTCTGTTTTCCTTTAAACTGGTTGCTAAATTAGACAGACATTGAAAATCTTTTTCTTTAAAGTGAAAAGTAAATTCATTTATGTTGCAAATGCCCCCTTTAAACAAAATGTAGTGGATGATTGCCCATCCATCATAATCAAAATAAAAGCACAGAATTTATTTAGACACTGACTTTGTCTGGATTAACCGACTCCTAAAACAGTTCATATACTCACCCTAAATATTTTTTCGCCCATACTTGGGCTCTCGCTTCTCTGTACGTCCATTATGTATTATGAGCCCACTTAGTACATTGCTGTCTGGAGTTTACATAGGTAAACACATAAAAATGTACATCTTTCCGTAAACTAAATAATCAATGGTCCTTTTCGTGTCCCGAAAACCTGGGGCTGTTGAACATTTTACGGATCCAATATTAATCGGATTAACGCAATTGAAATTGGTGTTCGGGTTAAAGGATTAAGAGTAATTAATAAAAATGGGTGTAAATATTCGAAACACTAATCCTTATAACAGTTGAAAATGCATAGAGTTTATCACAATAAGCGGGTTAGATAGTAACAGGCGCGTAACTGATCATTTAAACATATGATATATTAATATCTTGTTCAATCTGGACTCAGAAGTAGTTGCATAAAATATAATTTCCTTATTTTTTTTTAAAGTAATGTAGGATATACATCATTGTTAAATTCTAGGTGTGGGAGGTGATTCTGATACAGTATGCACTTTTGCAGTTAATATTTCTGCAAAAACCATCTAATCAATATATAAAATACACTTTTTAAAATATCATTTTAAAAGCCTTGAATCATTTAAAAATATATCATGTCTAGCCAACAGGAGGCAGTTTCGTCATATAATACAGAGAATTAAAACGCCTCAGCTTTATTTCTACAAAAAATGTATTATGTGTTCAAAGCGCATAAAATTGTGTTTTTAATAATTAAAACAATAATTGCCACAAAGCTTCGTAATAGAGAGAACTAATTTAGGCCACTTTTGCCTAATGTTCAAACCGTGTTCATTGTATACTTTATTGTATGTCATTAATACTAAACTTATTAAAGGTTAACCATAGTATAGTTTATAGTGGGATTGCGCAGAGCAAACACTGATCTTAAAAAGCATCAGATTCAGATGTGGGATCAGATGTCATGAAAGCAAAAGCATCTCCTGTCGTGAAAAACGGAAATATTTGTAGACAATTCAGTGTGTTATAATGACCTAACAGTTACTATAAAAATGGCAGTCAGCATTTGACTGACTAATAGATTGTGGACAAAGTCATTGCATCGACCACGGAAATCGCAGTTAACTTAAATCAATAATGTTGATATATCCTTGTTTCATCAATTTGGTCGACAATAACTTACATAACTTTATAAACTCACATACACATACTTCTTATGACCACATTACTCTCCATGGAAAAAATACGACTAGGGTTTACATGTAGCTCATGAACGATGTTGCAACTCAATCATTTTTTTTTTTAATTTTTAAACTAAATCAATATAAATAAACATATCAAACAATTTTGAAAGGATAAAATTGTCTTATTCAAATTAACTAAACGTGAAGAAAGAAAAAAACACAAAAATTGTATACTTATATTTTTATGAAGAATGAAGTATTGTTCTTTCTTTTTTTCATTAAACACTTCTTGCAAATGAAAGAACTAGAAAGGCCATTCCCTTTATGATTTTGAATAGACTGTACAGAGTTCCTTATTATTTGAGGCAAGTTCTTATATCAAGGTGTGAAGTTTATCCTTGCATGTTGCTGATATTGAAACAGCACCAGATAATCATACACCATTTTTCCGGAAATGAAAATTAAAGCATCCTCCTTTCTGGTATTTATTTCAACAAAAGACAATTTTGTCGTGCAACAATATATAAAATATATAATATTTATAAATATTGTTTTTTGTTTGTTTGTTTTTTTTGAAGAAGTGAAGTATTTTTACAAGGTATTCGTTATAAAATTCTTTAAATTTTATCCATCCGATTTTTGCATCTAGGAAGCGCAAGCATTCTCTGAGAGAACATCAACTTTTTTAGCACTGAGTCTCAAATGTTGCACATCTTGTTTGGATTTGAAAAGCTGTGATTAAAGTTTTCTTATATTTGATACAGGAGACACAGAATGCATTTTTTTGTATTTTGTTGCATCTTGTACATAAAGGCTGAAGAGGTCGGTAAGACTATTGACTGAAGAAAATACTCTTTGCAATGCTCAGTCTCAAAAAAAAATATTTTTCATGTTTAAAATTTCTTTATTATAAATCTAATTAAATAAATACCTCAGTAGCATATGAAGCCCTGTCATAATATTTTTTAAACCATAACATTGTACGATGTACATATATTTGAACAACAACACAGTAACATTTTGCGTAAACATATGAAAAACAATTGAGGAATTAATTTACGTTTCACTTTTATAGGTCTCTATCTTCGTCGGCTTTCTCTTTTGGTAAATTTAAAGCATTGTACTTCTTCAGAGTAATCCCTTTGTCTTCAAACCAAGTGAGTAGTTCTTGGTGTACTATACCAATATCACTCTGTAAAAAGACCCGCTCTCCTTTATCCATTAGCTTCTTTACTCGTAAATTATGCTCCTTCTGTGCAATCATTAATTCACTGAAAAAAATTAATTCAACAGATTTAAGAGAATTGTCTGAAGTCCATAGAACATTATCTGAATAGTCAAGAAATATGTTATGTCCATTTCTGACAGTCAGGATATTGGGTGACAAACAATAACATGGCGATTACGATTGACATGGACGTCTGATAAAATATTGAATTGAAATTCGTGTTTAATATTCATTTTTAAATTACTGCCCAAAGATTCTTCCCTATATATGTCTTTGCTGCTCTTGAGGAGATTTTGCTATAGACATATATTTGTGATCAAAATCTTGATCACCGATTGTGGCCCTACTTTACTCCAAGGGCGAGGTTGGATGGTCACGATTTTAATCAAACGTGACTTTAAACTATATAATGAAACATTTGCTTATCTTTCAACTCGTCTACGGAAGAAAAAAAAATTATTCGATTAAAAAAAAAAAAAATTACAATGTGAAACGGACGACAAACAAATGTGATCCGAAAATTTCACTAAAGCTTTCAGCTCAGGTGTGCTAATAATTGGATCTGGAATGGTGCCCGCCACATCAAAACAAGTTTAGGTAGTCCCCCACACCTTTCTTTTTCATGCTTGTCATATTGTCGTTCAGTGCATAAGCCCCCTTTACGAAGAATTTGGCTGTAGGGATATGGATTCAGTTGGAATTAACCGAGTTACTTACGAAAAGTTTATTTCTCCGTCTAGATTAATATCAATTCTTTTTATTATTATGTCCAAGTCGCGCATTCGGACTGGGATTTTGCTGACCTGTAATAAATCAAAAAGCAGGCCTTAGTATACATGCAGATATTGCTTTGAAAAATGCTAATTAGTGATTTACTTACACGCAAACAGACTGCAATTTCAGTACGGCCCATCTGTTAAGCTATAATATAAACTAAATTAAGGTTGTATATTTTGTTGTCCTTATACTAGAAGTATAAAAAAAATTCAGAAGTTTACCTGAACACCCTCTTTAAATTCATCCCACGTGACAGAATGGCTCCCATCTGTGTCAAAGGTTATAAACAAGTCTAGAACATCTACTTCTTTCATCCTGGTAAATTCAAACATAACGTTGACGGGGTCTCCCCGGATATACATGGTGGGATCCCCGTCCTCTGAGACAGGCTTAAGACAAACCTTGCCATAGGTGGCGTGAAGATCGCGACTCTTCTGGAGGGTGACCAATGTAGTCACAAAGTCCATGTCAACTGGTTGTATCTACGTAAAAAGGAAAACTTAAAAGTGAATATAGTTATACACAGGAGTACCTAATTAGTTCTAAATAGATCAGATTTATTTTACAGAAAAAATAGATATTGTCAAAAGAAGTCTTGTAAAGCACGTAATGTACATCAGTTCTAATTCACCATTCCAAAAACGTCCTACTTACACCAAAGTCGATGTACTTGATGTGTGGTATATATTTCATAGTATGTAGTACGAGTAAAGGCCCTTGTGCTGTTAGAGGATTGTTTCCGATCTAACAGATAGAAAATGGTACATCTGATTATTATTCAATAGAAAGGAGCTTCACAATAATACAAGTAAAAGCAATTATTGCATTGATGTAAAGAATTCATACTTTATCAATCTAAGATTTCATCTACAATGAAGATCGATAATATATGGCAGTTGTATGTTTTGGTCTTAAAGGGGAAATTTCAATTTTAAAAAAATCATTAACCATTTTATTTATATGATAAGATACTACTGAAATGACAAACCCTTAGAAACTCCAGGGAAGAATTTCTTTTCAATCCCTCCAGAAGCTTTGAGATGGCCACCACACCGATTCTGTTACTGCTCAGGTCTAAGTCTACCAACGTGTTATTTTTCTCCAGACCATGTGCCAAACCATGACAACCAACAATATCAAATCCATTCCAGGACACATTCAGGATTTTTATCGTTGAATTTTTCTGTCAAGATAAAATTTGGTGAAAGAGGTTCTCATTTTGAATTCCAACTTTTGAAATAAAAAACGTGTTTTAGCATTCAAACGTCATATCCATTTACATGTACATTAACAAGTGTCACTGAATTCAAACTGCTTACCTGTAAACCAATTCCTATGGCATGTGCCCCCTTTCCTCGAATATGGTTCCAACTAAGATTTAGTATTTTAATTGTGTCGTTACAACCTGACAAGAAATAGAAAAGAAAAGGATTCTAAAAAATTCTCCAAATTTTAACAGAAATCTACTGAAGACAAAAATCGACTTTTTTTTTTATTAATTTCAGTATTTTACATGTGTGTGTGTGTTTTAATAAAGAATACTCTTTTTTAACAGTACTATCATATTAAACATTTCAATCTGGAGAATACAATATACATAAATATACCTTGCTTACTTGCCTGTGGTCATTACGGAATTATTAAAACAGTTGGTTATTGTGACTTTCTTAAGAAAAGATTTATCACATTAGAATATCACCTAACGCAGTGCCAACCATTGTAAAATTTTGCTAAAAAAGCACTACCTTTCATATTGAATTTTCTTTTATTCTAAGCGTCCCTGAGGCACCGCCTGAGGGTAATTTCAAATTGCACGTTATTCTCTGTCATTAAGGCCAACTAACCTAGGCACCATCTCTAATTACTCATTTAGTCACCACTTTTCCTACGTAGACATGCCTCTTTAAGTCTTTTCATTTTTGTGGACTTACCTAAGGCACTGCCTATAACCACGCCGCTGTCCACCGAAAAATTGTTGTGGCTGAGATTGAGCTCATTTATAATGTTGTCACCCTGGACAAAAACGATTTTGAAATTCAAAGGAAAAAAACATATGTCAAATGCAATTTTTATGAAAAAATAAGAAATTAAATTATGTGTTATAAACATTTAAAAAACTTACGTGTAAAATCTCAGATATGTAGACTGCATCGGTGTCCTCAAACTCATTATCTAAATAAACATAAACAATCAGCTAATGAATTACAGTGTCCTCGAATGCTTGAGAATTCAAAACAAATGCATACTCTGAATATCTTTTTGAGCTCACCTGAGCTGAAAGCTCAAGTGAGATTTTCTGATCACATTTTTTTTGTAGTCCGTCTGTCCGTCCGTCCTTCTGTCTGTAAACTTTTAACATTTTCGACTTCTTCTCAAAAACCACTGGGCCAATTTCAACCAAAATGCCACAAAAAATCCTTGTGTAAAGGGAATTCATGATTGTTCAATTGAAGGCCCCCGCCCTCTTTCAAGTGGAGAAAATTAAAAAATAGTAAAAATTTGGTTTCATGTTTAAAAAATCTTCTTCTCAAGAACCACTGGGTCTGGAGAAATGAAACTAATGTGGAAGAATCCTCAGGTTATGTAGAGTCAAGTTTGTTTAAATCATGACCCCCGCGGGTAGGGTGGTGGCGCAATGAATGATCAAAGTTTTACAAAGGAATATACAGGAAAAATCTTTTAAAAATCTTCCTCTGAAGAACAACAAAGCCATGATTGGTAATTTTGATAGGGAAGCATCCTCAGATAGTGTAGATTCAAGTTTGTTCAAATCATGACCCCCGCAGGTTGGGTGGGGCCACAATGGACGATCAAAGTTTTACACAGGAATATATAGGAAACATGCATAAAAAAAATCTTCTTCTGAAAAACAACAAAGCCATGTCTGATCATATTTAAATGGATGCATCCTTGGGTAGTGTAGGTTCAAGTTTGTTAAAATCATAACCCCTTTGGTGGGGTGAGGCCAAAATGAAAGTTCAGACTTGTAGGAAAAAAAGCCACAGTAAGTCAAAGAAATATTTAAGCATTCTTAGTGTAGATTCAAGGTATTTCAAATAATAACCCCCCTTCTTTTAGAGGTAGGTCGGGACCACTTTTGCATTTAAGATTTTTACAACTGGATTGATTTTTGCTTTTTTCCTAGCCACAGTGCTCGGTGAGCGATGTGGCAAATGGGCCTTTTGTTCTTTCCGCCTTCGCAATGAAGAGTGTGATCAAAAACATTGATATCAATTAAAAAATCTAATAATTGATAAAGTATGCAATGAGTTTTGAGGTTTATGAATATTCTTTTTGAATAGTGTCCACTTCATTACCATCTTTTTGAAAGAGGATAAAAATAATTTGAACAAACTTGAATACCTTCACCTCAGTCTAAGCAAAGCTTTTTGAGACCATGTCTAAGCAAAGCTTTTTGAGACCGTGATAATATTTAATAAACCCACAAAAAGGGTGACACGGGGTTTTGTTATGTTGCCAATAATCATTCCTTCATTTATAAGTTATAGATTTAAAATAACAAACAAATAACTTACTTTAAAAATGAAATGTTGAAATTAAAAAAAACTTCTTAGAAAACAGTGTTTTTTCATGTTCATAAATGTTGAAAAAGATCAGTTTTTGGTAATCTTCATTATATTTATTCTTTACTTCTGTTGTTGCTCTGCGCTTTTGTATGTCATGAAATCCACCTTCTTAGTAATGAACATTAAAGAGCCCAAATTAAACAAATTTTATGGTCGAAACAATGACCCTGTTTTCAAATACCTATAACATGTCATTAAGTCGAATGTTGACCTTTCATGTTAATTATATGGAGCATACAGCAGTCGTTTTGACGGGGGATGCTCATTTCACCATGACACCTAATCCCACCTCTAATGTATTTAGTGTCCCTGTTTACTTAGAGTTGTTTTCTTTTAATAAACTTACGAGAATGGTCACTTCTTTTCATTCTTGTGTTTCATAAACAGGAAATCTCAAGGATAATTATTCTACTTCAAAGGTTCCAAAAATCTACGGAGACATATACTTTGTTCAAGGATAGGCATTGTTCGAAAACACATTCCGTTTCTGTTTTTATTTTTGAACGCCAACTTTTTGCTTGTAATGTATATATGTTTTACAATTTTTTCTGTTATTTCGTACATTATTTTGACATGTAACAGGGGAGATCATTACTTGTTTATGTAAAAGAATATTTGTATAAGGTTTTTTGATCTCCCCATTTATTGTATTCTTTAATACTCATTGTCGTTTTCAATAAATGACAATTCACACAAATATGGAGTTGTGATTTTTATCCAGGAAGAAAGTGGAAGGTTATTTAGATCTCAATAATATGTAAACAAGCAGGTATTACATAAAGCTTGTTTATTTAAAAAACAAGGACAATCATGCCATTTGCGTGATTTGATATATCCTGCACAATGTTCCTTATTATTTTGCGGTTGTCCTCTATCCCAATTTGTAAAACTCATATGTTTTCCCGAGGAGAACCATCGCCACTCTCCATGCTTTGCTAAATCAGTAGCCGATATCCAGACATCTTCTTTACGGAAACGGTTAATCCAAGCATCCTCCTTCGCATCATTTATTTCCACCAAAGACGACTTTTTCGTGCGGCAATACATTTCCGCTTCAAAAAAGTTAACTTTTAATTCTATGTATTTATAACAATGACCATTGAACTTTGTCCATCCTTTTTCGCATTCTTTTACTTTGGGAAGTGTAGTATTTCGAAGTTGGTCAATTTTCAGTTCCAGAGAATTTAATTTTGACATCATCTTGGGATTGCAAGAATTTCGAGTTCATCCCGAGCATTCATTGAAAGAACATCCAGTGTCGGAACACTGCGTCTCGAATGTTGCGCTTCGTAGTAGAATCGCTCTCTTTTGAATAGATTTGAAAAGTTTGAAATGAAGTTTTCCGATATTTGATATCAGCGCCGAGTCTTGTTTATTTCCATTCGTATTACAGAATACAATCATTAAGACAATCACAAAACAGAAACCCATTGTCAGCGAGGTCGTCTACTTGATGACAAAGCCTTGAAAATAGTTAGTATTTTAAGCGGTGTTGCTTAATATATTCTAATCAACATTTGTAATGTTTCAATGACGTGACTTTTTTTGTTTTAACGTTGCACGAAAATTAATATCTGACATGCAATTTCTGGACATCATTTAAAGATCTTTGATACAAGATATTTGAATACGATAAATCAGGGATATTTATTTTGTTTTCATTCAATTCCAGATTCATTCTTAAAATTGCGCCTACATTACGTATTTTATCGTCATCAGAATGCGTTTTATATATTTGTCCTTTAGTTGTGAGATCCTCAGAATGTGGTATTTAGATAAGAAAATGTTAAAGAATTACAGTACAGGCCACGAGTTTTCCGCAAAAAACACGGGGCCCCGTGGACCGCAAGTCCACGCTTTAGCATGGAGCTCAAACCTTGTCGGCGTCTTTGAAGTCAGCGTGTCTGTGCACCGTGTAACACAGTGTGTCACAGTTCTGATGATAAATATTTTAAACATTCTCATTGCCCTTATTTAATAAAATTAAATCAACTTTCTTTCGAAATATTTGTTGTACTTTTTCCATAAATTAATACATATATTGGTAATTTATCGCATACAGATAATTAAACTAATAAGATGCCTGAAAACTTAATAACAACGTACTCGTGTCCAGCAAAAAAAAATATACAATTACGTTTCAAGTTAAATCCTAATTATATTAGTCATAAAAAGTTCAATAGACTATTATTATATTACACTAAGAGGAAACACACTTTCATAAATGAATTACTTAATTGTCTCTACTTTGCAGATTTTGATTTTAACTGTGTTCAATTAAATCGTTGATACAAGATGGTTTTTCCCTTCGTATTACATATCAGATGCGTGATTATACTAAGTGAATTAATTATTTTGTAAGAATTTAAATGTGCATGTACTGTGTCTAGATTACATGTATTTTAAAAAAAAATACGTATCAGACTAGCACATTTTTGCTCTTTTAAAAATAATTGTTCAGATGAGGATTATTGCATTTAGACTAACACTAAAAATCTGTAATTATGTAAAATATGGAGATAAATATTGAATGCGGTAAACTCGAAAATCTACTGAACAGGCAGAGATGATAATCTGAATAATTTCATTAATTAAAATAGTGATAAACTTAGTAAACACGCTGAATACAAAAATCACAGCCGAATTTTTGGCAAATGAAATATGCTAACTTCAGTACGAATATTACTTCATTCTGAAATATATCGTGTGAAAAGAAGAAACCAGAAGTCTCTGTCGAGACTGTAGCTCTACTGGTATGTACTTATCAATAACCATTGCACTATTTTATGTATCTTTGTGTAGTCTACTTGTGTGCCAACTTATTTTGAAATCAAACTAGAACTGTAGAAGGAGTAGCGTTTTTAAGGAATTTCACAGAAAATTCTATTTTTATAACCATGGTTTTATTAAATCAGAAACCAATGCACTATTCTATGTATCTTATGTGTGTACTTGTGTGCCAAGTTATATTGAAATCAGACCAAAACTGTAGAAGGAGTAGCGTTTTTAAAGAATTTCACAGAAAGTTCTATTTTTAGTAACCATGGCACCACCGTTCATCGAAATTAAAAACCGATGCACTATTCTATGTATCTTAGTGTAGTCTACTTGTGTGCCAAGTTATATTGAAATCAGACCAAAACTGTAGAAGAAGTAGCGTTTTTAAGGAATTTCACAGAAAATTCTATTTTTAGTAACCATGGTAACACCGTTCATCGAAATCAAAAACCGATGCACTATTCTATGTATCTTAGTGTAGCCTACTACTGTGCCAAGTTATATTGAAATCAGACCAAAACTGTAGAAGGAGTAGCGTTTTAAAGGAATTTCACAGAAAATTCTATTTATAGTAACCATGGCAACACCGTTCATCGAAATTAAAAACCGATGCACTATTCTATGTATCTTAGTGTAGCCTACTTTTGTGCTAAGTTATATTGAAATCAGACCAAAACTGTAGAAGGAGTAGCGTTTTAAAGGAATTTCACAGAAAATTCTATTTTTAGTAACCATGGCAACACCGTTCATCGAAATCAAAAACCGATGCACTATTCTATGTATCTTAGTGTAGTCTACTACTGTGCCAAGTTATATTGAAATCAGACCAAAACTGTGGAAGGAGTATTTTAAAGGAATTTCACAGAAAATTCTATTTTTAGTAACCATGGCAACACCATTCATGGAAATCAAAAACCGATGCACTATTCTATGTATCTTAGTGTAGTCTACTTGTGTGCCAAAGTATATTGAAATCAGACCAAAACTGTGGAAGGAGTAGCGTTTTAAAGGAATTTCACAGAAAATTCTATTTTTAGTAACCATGGCAACACCGTTCATCGAAATTAAAAACCCATGCACTATTCTATGTATCTTAGTGTAGTCTACTTGTGTGCCAAGTTATATTGAAATCAGACCAAAATTGTAGGAGGAGTAGCGTTTTGAAAAATTGTTTACAGACAGACGGACAGACAGACGGACAGACAGACAGACAGACAGACAGACGGACGGACGCCGGACGCATTACTATCGCATAAGCTCTTCTGGTCTCTGACCAGTAGAGCTAAAAACGGTTTGAGAAAACATAGATATTTAGCGATTTTTAAAAATCCCCCCCCCCTTCTAGAAAGCGATACGAATCAGCTGCTTAAAACTTTATCAGAAGTCTGCAAATTTATGTTATGTTTTTTTAAATCTTAATCTACGGGATACATTCTTATTTGTGTCTGAAAAAGGATAAATAAATCAACAAATAATTGTAAGTTTATAATTGTTGTTGTAGTGAAACCTGGAAGGTGAACTTCGCATGATATCAGTTGAGTGTGTTACATGTTATACAAATGTACACTTGCTGTGGTCAGAGCTAAAGAATTTGAAAGGTGTGATAAACATACGGCGCCCCTGGCCCACGGGCAGAGACCCAATATATTTTTTGAACAGGTGTGAACTCGGAACTGACCATAAGATTGTTTCAAATCACAAGAGAAATTCTTTCCGCGTAAACAGACTTTCAAGGTCACCTAGCGTCATGGTATTTTGATTGGCAGGTGATGCACGAGAATTTTGTGCGTACAGCATATACAAAGAACGAATTAATTGCATTAAATGGGTTGAATATGAACAAAAGTTGTGGCAATTAAATAGAATTGTAGAATGATTAATTGTGACCTCCTTAACTTAAATAAAACGAAGAATAAAAAAAAAAAATACAGACTATATGTTAAAAGGGGGTTGTATGAGTCTCTCTTTCTCTCTCTCTCTCTCTCTCTCTCTCTCTCTCTCTCTCTCTCTCTCTCTGGTGTTGCTCTTTATACACTTTACAAGAAAAGAAAAACTTATTGAAATAACTACTTACACTGAAAGGATTTTAAAAACACAACGTAGTGAATACTACTCTATGAAAATAATGTTTGCTGTTACTAGAAATACACTTTGAAATTATTGCATTAATTTCCTGCTAACGATTTTCGCATCCACATTCAGAATAATTCAAGAAGAACAAAATAAATGTATTTTAATAAGGAATATACATAATAATGCTTGGATCGTACACTAGTGCTGTACATGTTAAAACCATGAACATAGATACAGCTCTGATTTAATTTTATACTGTACTATACAGTGTATGTGACACGAATGCAGCTCAACGCCATTTCGTCTTCCTTTGTTACATGAACACATGAGATTAAATTATTCATTTAAAAAAATAAAATTCATAATTTTGATTTAATTTGATTTAATTTGTAACGTGGATGAATAATTTTACTTAAATTTCTAACACACAGTTAATTCAAATGAAAATCATTCAATTTTTTTTTTTACCGATATCTAAACTCAATATCATGCGTGCCATTCGAAGTCCAACATCTGGTAGAATAAAAACGATTATTTTATATACATACTCGTAAACCAAAGTTGTCATCAAAATTTATTATCAAATTTTTATGAGAAACAAACGATTTTGTCTGTAATACTATTTACACGGTGCAGCTTGGAGGGGAATTTTCTTGACAAGGTGCGACACGGAGGACACTAGCTGAGATTTTATATATTTGTGCCTACCTGTATATTTCAAATCCACACACACCGTGCTACACCGTGTACACGGTGTAACACAGAGCGTTTCACACGGTGTTTTTTCCACCGAGCGTTGCGGAAAACTCGTGGCCTGTACTGTATTTTGCTGAAACGGTTTTCTAATATAAGTTCTAAAAAAGTAATCAAGTTTATTTTTAAATACTTCAATTGAACTTTATTAAATTTTTGGAAATTTTATGTAAAGAATTGGACAATTTTCCCATTCTGTAACATTTCAATTCATATCTTAAGCTTTAATCAAGTCGTCAGAGTTGGTCCAGTTCCTGTTCTCTACATTCTAATTTAGTTCTGTATTACAGTGTATGTTTTTAATGCAGTTTTTCGTCATAGTGGGTTCCACGAAAGCTGAAAATGTGGACAAGGCCATATGAAAGGCCTTATGAAGGATGTAATACCTGCACATATGATGCTATTCAAAGACATTGTTTAGTAGCAATATATTAAATTTTCCTAGAAAATATAATGTAATTAAGGAAAACATCGAAAACAACGAAATCAAAACTTTGCAACTTAGGTGATAGAAGGGAAATTTTGCACTTTAAAATCCTGCGCTGACTAATCATTTGAAATCACATATGTACTTAAGTGACAACAGATCTAGATATTCAAATGAATGCATATTTATTGTATTATTGTAAAATCTATATGAAACAACAAGGTGCTGTATGTATAAGAGGGGTTGGGTTGGGTGGGATGGGGTCGGAACTGGTACTACATGTAACAGTAGAAGACATGCATGCACTTTGGCATTTTTATTATTTGTAACTTTCGATACTTTTGTATTAACATTTCTTATATGTTCTTAGTGTTTGGTGGATCTTTCACAGTGATTTTTTATAATGCCACATATTATTCATATTGCGCTAAAATCATATCCAAAATAAGACTTTAAAAGGGAGAAAAAATGCACGCAATCCTTTGCATGAAATGATAGACTAAAAAGAGATAGTCCTATCAGAAAAAAGTAAACTTTTAACTTATATACTCACTAGAGAGATTAATTGATTTAATGTGATGGTTTGAATGAAAAAGTTGAACAATCCATCGTAATCCCTCCGTTCCAAGTTTGTTGCCGCTTAAATTCTGTAAAATACACACAATTAGGCAGTGGATTACACGACATTTCACTTTTATTAAGTAGATGAGTTTCAGTGGCGACCTTAATGAACTTACCACTTCTGTAATATTAGTTTTCCTATAAAGCAGATCGAACATATACTGAGCACCTGACAACCCAATCTGACATCCCTCTAGATCCAGAGACTGGACACGTGTATTACTCTGTAAAATAATCAAATAAAACTAGTAGACAGAATGTAAAATATAACAAAATACTCATTTTAAACACTGTTTTATTTAGAATAAGACCATTGCTCTTTCACATTTTATAAGACATGAAGAACAAAGTCTGAGATTTTTTTCTCTCTTAATTTTTTTCTGGAAAATTCAATGCAAAATGCAACTGTATTGTCAAACATAAAGTAATAAAATACTCGTACAAGTAGAGCGATTGCACAGGACTTGATGGCATTTTTTGTAAGAAGCTGAAACCTGAGAGACATATTTCTCTCCCCTAGCTGACGTAGAAAGACGGACAGGGGGACCACTCCACAATGCTTGCATGCCCGGAGATAGTCTTTGCGACTAACGTCGCTGCTGGTTTGGTATCTACGTAGAGCTACATTCAATTCTGTTTTGTAATTTTCAGCTGAAAAGGAATAAACGTTATCAGATTTTTAAAAAATTAATACTTAAGTCTATTTGCAATAATGTTAATTACAAACAAAACTGACAAAACTAAAAAATAAATTCATGGAATCAACCATTTTTTGCATCAAGAAACATCTTATTCTGCTTATTAAGTGAATGCTGTTTTCTTACTTAAACTGTTTTTTTTCTCATTTAAAATCAGGGTTATTTATTCAGTTGTGATTGAAGTACCCAAAGTATTTTTTCCGAGTTTTCGATTTGGTACTACGATTCAATTTTTTTTGAAAGTGTTCAAACTATTAACACCTATCATGATAGTTAAATTTGGAAGTGCAGAATATAACAAGACAATAATATTAAGTTTTTGACGGGTACTTTTTAAACATATTTTTCATTTTCAGGACCAATAATCTTAAATTGACTATATACTATGTAAGTATAATATCATTATGTTAAAAACTGCAGATTAATTTTGTTTTGATAAGATGTAATATATTACATGTATTAATTTCATTATTAAATCGCCGTGGTCCTTGTGTCTTTCTCCATTAATCGGATTAATTTAGGACTTTAATCGATTACATATCATGATTATAATACCACTGCCTTCTAAATTTCAAATATCTTTAAATATATTTATAAACATTTCATTTATTGAACTATTGTCTTTGTTACCTTTAAGTTATTATACCAGAACACAAAAAGAACATTTACAATGGTTTCGCTAAAGTTACGACAAAATCGATTTAAAATTTCATGTAATCTTTTTTTGTAAAAAAAAGAGGTAAGTTTAATCTTCACAATCTTATTAATTGAATATTAAATCAAAAGCTTTAATACTTTATCAAATAAATGTGAGTGTATCATTTAAAAGTGTTCAACAATATTATTTTTAAGTAGTTTTTAAAGTATTCAAGTTCAACAAAATCTTTCAAATTTCAAACCTGATTGTGGTGACATTACCTTCAACTTCAATATCCTTGTCCCTTTCGAAGTATTCTGTTATAAAAGCTCGTCTTGCTGACTGTGACATCAGTGGAGGTTTTCTCCTCAGTAACACATTTTACAAATCCATTAAAAAAACTATTTACTATAATCAGAAGCAATGCCGGTGACTGCCCAGTTTTGCAGACAGAAGTGATAGTCCTGATAAGTGTTCAATTTCCACTGTACTCATCTATTTTCTCACAGTATTTTATAGAAACCTCACGCTCACACTTTACACAGACGTCCAATTACACTGTGTAGCCTTGTGGGTTGTGGCTAAACCTTTTCTAGTGGTGATTTTAGCTTTGTTTTTGTTCAGTATGACCAGCTGAGTAAAGGTTTATCAATGATGGCATCTCCGAAAGTACAGGTCACAAACCAGATTAAACCTTCTAATTCATAATCCGGATTATTGTGTTTCTTATATATATTGGCGTCCCTTCTATTAAAAGTTAAAAGTTTGGAATGATTTATAGAATACTTGTTTATAAACTAATCTTATTTTTTAGACACTGTATGCAGCGCCACGTGCATTGAATTAAATAAAAGTTAAATACGATATTTTTACAGCAGTACATTTTCTAATTAGAATTATCTTATAATAAAGATTTTTAATTGGAAAGGATTCCGTCTTAATGATGAAATATATATTATGATATATGAATTGTAGAAAAAAAATATTTCTCTTTCACAATGTTTGTTTGTTTGTCTGTTAAACGTCCCTTCGAATATTTTTCACTCATGAGATGCCACATATTGCCTCTCGAAGACTGCAAATGCAGACCGGGCATTAAGCAATGATCTAGAGATCTTTTTTGTGTTAGAACCGAGGCCTCGATTTCTACGGTCTTATCCGAAAGACCGGTTTCCACACCTGTATTTGGCATCGGACATGCGACAAAAAAGATCAGCAGGCATGTTTACGAAACTTTCCTAAAATTGTTCATAAGAAATTTCCTAAGATATATCTTAAGAAAATTTTAGGATCATCGTAAGATTATCTTAAGGTGTTTTTCAAAGCTATCTTATGATCACCCTAAGATAAGACGTTAGAAATACTCTAAACTTTTAACCATTGTCAAGGATAAGAGAGTTGCAATTTTTTGCTATATATAATGCTACACGTTATGTCATCATTATGGAAATATTTAAAAGAGTATAAATTAAAAAAAAGGAATTGGAGTTTCTATTTAATTTATAAATATGAATTATTTATTTTTAATTATTAATCATATAAATTCAACGATATGCTGTAACATTGGTTACATTTAAAATGAAATAGAGTGCCATTTGATCATTCAGAATTCTTGAACGATGAAAAGTGCGCCAATTTACATGAGTGAAACGGAATGCAGCGCAAAATCGGAAGGAAGTAGGCAAATCTGGAGGAGCCCTCTCCCCCCAAAGACTAAATCATTGGTCACCCGGAATAACCCATTTAAACTCTCTCTCTCTCTTTCTCTAGCTTTCTCTCGATTTTCCTAAGTTAAGACGTCTTAAATCATTATTACAGAGAAAAAACTTTCTCTCTCTTATAGGTTAAGATTGATTGATAGTATATTATTTAACGTCCCTCTCGAGAATCTTTCACTCATATGGAGAGGCCACCACTTGCTGGTGGAGAGCTATAAATTGTGTCCTATTCTCGACACTTAAAGCCATTGAGCAATGAGGGATCTTTTTCGTGCCACCACCAACTGCGACACGTGACCTCATTTTATACAATCTCATCCGAAGGACCGGTCTCCATGTCCCACAGTGGGATTCGAACACACGACTGAGACGTAAGCATCAACTCCTTACACCGCGACTCTTTCAGGTTAAGTGAGATTAAATTTTATTCTGTTTACGGGTTACATCTTACTATGTATGTTGTGCATCTGCGTGAGGCACTGAATATCATAAGAATTCTAACCATGGTTATTCTTGGAAAGTAAATGCATACAGGCATGTAATTGAACATGGGGAAAGGAAGGTCCAAACATACTCTGTACATTGAGCCATTGAAAATGTTCATTGAAAGATCGCCCCTTCCCCCTTTTTGTGTTGAATAGTAAAATAAGGGTAATCTAGTAGTGTATGAGTAAACTTTGGCACTGAAAAAAGTTGGAACCTAGCCCCTCTACTCCCCAGCACGAAATAAGATTTTTGCACATGCACCTGATGTAACTTATTTTTCTTTTCATAAAAATATACCCCTACCTAAAAATATATTACTATTAGGTAGGGTTATATTTTTTTTTTTAAAGAAAAATAAAGTAACGTCAGGTGTCTGTGGATTTTCGAGCTACAAAATTTTCGAGGTCAAGTTTTTTTTAAATGTAAGTTAGATTGTTTTTCTATGTTGGTTGGATTCTTTATCTACCCCCTCCCCCCTTTCAAAATCGATGCTACGTCCGTGTCATGTGTAAATGCAGTACATTAATAACTGTGTAATAATTCAACGTCTGTAGAAACCACCTGATAGATGCACAATACAAAAAAAAATCCATGATTTTTTAGATAGCGTTGAGGCTTCGGGGGCGGGGGGTGGGGGGTGGGGCCGGGCTTAAAGAAATAAATACCTCTTTCAAAATGAAATAGTAAATAGTGCGCAATATCATTAATCAGTCGAACTGTAGATATTTGTTTTGATAAGCACATCAACAAAAATTAATAGTCTTATCAAACATTTTATTTAACGAAGTCTATTACAGTGGTATATAATTTTTACAGCTGTCGTTCACGGTCCCGACATACTAATAATCAGTCTTTCGAATTCTTCCTATATCTCAATACTCAATCACGTCTGAAACGACGATTTCGTCGAGCCTGCAACAACATGGACGCAGCTATTTCTACTTACGATAGACTTAAGATATGTCTAAAGCTGTCGTAACTTTATGATAATTCTTAAGAACTTTCGTAAGTTACGATACTTTCGAAAACCCCACTTAGTCTTAAGAATTGTCGTAAGTATATCTTAAGACGTTTCTTAGTCCTAAGATAGCTTCGTAAACATGCCTGCTGGTCACTTCTCATTGTTAGCATTGAATTCATTTTGGAGTAAATGTTTCAGAGACCCCTAGCTATTCCCTCTCTTCAGTTCCTGATTTGTATTATTAAAAAGGACTTTTGAACTTGAATAATGTTTGTTATCTCCATATTTAATCTATTTAAATATTATATTTTTTTCTTCCATTATAGCTTCATGTATGACGTTTATTAAAGGGATTCTACCTTTAGCAGTAACGAATTTTTTTCCTTAGAAATCAATCACTCATTAAATATTTGAATTTTATTTAAAAGCATTAAGAAAAGATAAATTTTCCAAAATATGATAACCTAAGCAGTAAGTATTCATGGAAGATTTCATTGAGTTGAACGAAGGCAAGCAAATTTATAAAAAGCTATTTTAAAAAGTGCGGTGATGGAAAGATATTACGTATTAATAGCCATTCTCTGTAACCACTTAAACTTCGTTGCCACGCATGGTCACCGATTTTGATGAAACTTCACCCATGCTTAGTACTTGACACCAGAAACAAATATCAAACAAAATTTTGTTGCTATGTGTCTCGGTTGCTATGGCAACAGCCGGAAAAGTTTGAAAAATCGAGATTTTCAGCCACTTTAAATGTTGACTGTGGCTTAATAAAAACTAGAAAAAGCAAACAAATCATTCTCACAAAAACATGACACCTTGATGTCACTTATACTGTAAAGAAACTGTTTAGAATATATCTCTAAGTAAGTGGTAACCAAGGGTACATTTGGAATACATTTAAAATGCTGAAATATGCTGAAAAACACACCGTATTCACTAATGGTAGGCGTTACATGCTCAAACTCAATCAACTTCTTAAGAAAAACAGTGAAAATGTTTGACCTTAAGTATATAAGTATAAGCAATATTATTCTATAAATAACTTTTATGGTTGCCATGGTAACACAGTGTAACCATGCAAAACCAGTAACTAAGTTTGGGTTAATGCTACTGTCTTGAGGAAAATCATGAACATTCAAGACTGGCAAATATGCATCCCTAGGACCTTACAACACCAAAACCATAAGAAAAATTGGGTATAATTGCTACTTTGCAGTGTTACCATGGAAACAAAGTACCTGTGCTTAAAATTGAATTATTTTTCGCTGCATTAAGAATTAAATTGCCATATAATCAAGAAACAAATGAAAGGACTCCGCTTGAATAGTACTTATCTGTTAGAACTGAAGTTGAATATCATATATTGATAAAATTTAATGAAGAAAACAACACTGTTGCTATGGTAACCAAGAAGGGAAAATGTTCGATTTTGTAAACTTTATATCAATATTAAACCCTGTGTGCCAACTTCTTGCATCCACTTAGAGATTGGATGATAGTCAAAATTAAAAGTCAGGTTAGCTGTTAATAAATATCAATCATAAAAGTTTTGGGAATCTACATTTAAGGGTACGTATCCAAGGACAGAAAATATTTTTCAGGTTTTTAAGCATATATTTTCTGCTTATTTCCATAGCAACGCTCTATTTAAAGAATCTAATCTGATTTTTTTCAAATGGGAAAACTAGGAGGACACCAACATCTTCCAAAATTGATCATTATTTATGAGGAAATATGCTTTTTTAAAAGATAGGATCAGATTTAAATATACAGAGTGTTACTTTGAAGGCTCTTTGTGGTATAAAAACCTTGGCAACCATAGCCAACCAAAATGAAATATCATATTTTGTTCTTGGTATATGTTTCAAGGCTCTTTTTTCTACTATTTGGTCACATTTGCTTTTTATTTTTACGTGTATGACTTTATAAATTTCAATGAATATTTTTTTGTACTTTTGAATACTTTGTTACCATAGTAACGTATGTAATAGCTGATTTACCAAACATGTTTGTCATGCATTTGAGACATCTGACCTTCAATGTTTGGAAACAGTCATTGCCAATTGTTTGCTTTGCCGCAAATGTTAATTATGGGGCTCTAAACATGTTAAAAAATGCCATTTTTCGAACTTTAAGACATGTTGCCATGGTAACTATAAAACATAGCAACCAATTTTTGCCTGATTTCAGTTTAGGGTATCAAAGACTTTTATCATAGAGAGTTTGGAGAAATTCTGAGACTATGCGTGCCACAGCTCCTATATAAAAGTTCAAGTCATTACAGAGAATGGCTCTTAATTACATCATCAGGTAAATAGAACTTTCAGTCGAGAGTGATTTTTTCCAGCAACGGAATTGGAGAGGATATATCAAAGGAATCATTTGTGTGGGTTTGTTTGTTGATGTGTTATGGCCTGTGCGAAACAGAAGTGGCGTAACTTTTGCATCGGGATAGATATTGTATGCCGCTTTGATCATAAAGATGTTCTTTGCCAATGAATGTTCTGCTTTGCAATGTCCTTGTTCAAAATAATTATTCATTAAAAAAGAGGGACAGATCAACGCCAATTAAAAAGTAAAACCTAAGCAATAGATTTCGGATTATAATGTGTATACAACCCTTCCATAACATGTCATGCATTCAATTTCATTCATTTCAGAGTTATTTAATACCAATTTCAAATTATAGATTTTAACATAACTGCGATCAACAATTTACTACTTTGTATCTAAAAAGTTAAAGATAAAGTAATGCTAACGAAAGAGCGCATAATAAATTTAAAACAGAAATGAAGAGAAAAATTTAAATCTAATTAATGAGATTATAAAGTTTTGAAGTTTAAAACTCTAATTAAATTATGATTTAACTAGGCAGATTATGATCTTATTGTACCCTCAAATGTCAGGACACAGTTAATTACATTTTGATGTACTATTCAAGGTTAAATTTTAACGGTACCTTCGTTTGTTCGTCATTTTTCTCTTTCAGATTGTCTGAGACTTAAAATTGAAAGTTATTTCTTACTTGAATAGAAAAGACTTAATGTGTGTTCATGTAAACTGGACCAAAAAAGACAAACTATAGTGAAAGTTACTTCAAATGAAGACTTGAGTTGGCTTAAATCATTTCCCATCTCTAGAAATAATGTAAGGTTACAAGTAGGATCAAAATTTAATGTTACAATATAAAGTACAGTTAACCAATGTTCAAATCATGGACCCTTCAGATTTCAATAGAGGACCGTTTTTTCACCTGAATCTTGACCACATTTTCACAAGTTACATCAAGATTTAGCCCTTGTCATAATAATATAGACTTTATTTGTCATTTGTATCATGTCCTTTTCAACACATTTTAGTACTGTAGTAAGTTAATCTGTTTTTATCGCAATTTGGTAGCCAGGAGGGCCGCCCGCATTTTTCATACAGTAGGTTTCCCCTTCCTTTAAAGTTGGGTCCCTCAGGATGGAGTATAATTCGGTCTGGTAACCGTAACTTGCGTATCCATAGGGTGAATATCGCAGGTCTGTTCGAGTGTTGGAGGAATTGGACTTCAGGTACATAAAGCTGTTATTCGGTGAATTATCATCATCCTCCAGAATGTAACACTGGCACAGCCGCGTGTTGTCGTTGATGTTTTTGCAGAAAATCTCGTCGGAAATGTAGCTGGATGGAATGGTTTTATAAGAATATGCGTTTGATGTGGCTAGTTTGACATCTCGAATATACGTTATTGTGACAGATGGGCGAGTCCATTGAGCTAAGATAAAACAAGAGAAATTTATTAGTTTCAAGGACCCTGACTGTGATTCCATGTTAGAGGACATAATTCATTTTAAGGAAAAAAAACGAATTTGTCGCAATCAAATAATTAATTTAAAAGTATTTCCATAAGCTCTGTTTTAAATTTTAATATTGTTCAGAATTTGACAAGCAGCACGATCCGATCATTTTTTCTAAAAGCAATAAAATTTATATGGAAGATGGCGTAATCAGAGATAATAAATTCATATTTACACAAAAATAGAAGTTATCTTTAAATGTCAATGTTAAATGTAGAACCAATATGTGATCTGAGAAACTTAAACTTAATTGACATTTAAAGATAACGTATATTTTTGTATAAGCAAACAAAAATTGTAAAAATACTTTAAATTTATTTTTTGATTGCATTAAGTTGTTTTAGGCCCCGTAAACGTTTCAGGGGAATATAGTTTTGTCCTGTCCGTCCGTTTGTCTAGCTGTATGTCTGTCTGTTTGTTCGCAAAACTTGCACATAATTTTGACTGGGTGGGACTATGGCTCTCGTATTTCACAGGTGAATATTCCTTGTGACAAGACCATTCTCTGAGTACCAACAAATTTGACATCTTGACCTTGGAGTTTCACACACTTTTACATCAAATTCCAAACTTTTATTTTGGCCATAACTTTTGAATAATTGCTGCTAGGACTTTCATACTTCAAATATGAAATCTTTGTGACAAACCTTCGATATGTTGCCATTCAGGGGCATCAGAGTTTCACAAACACATCTTGTTTTTTTTTTCTTTAAAATGAATTATGTCCTATGGGTCAGTGAAAATTGAGTGAGTGAGTGACTAAGTTAATAAATATAAAAAAAAAAGTTGACAAGTATATACTGAGTATTGTCATTTGATTGATTGAAAAGTCACTGTACATGCACAAACTGTTCATTCTCTTAATCTTTTGTATATTCTTCAAGAAATCGACTCTGAGGTTATGAATTCTAAAAAACGTGGTTCCGTTTTTGTTTCTACGTTTCAAAAAGGGAGCAAACAATTATAAATACTTTTTAAATTCACAGGTCCAGTCGAACAAACATTTGCTTGCTCTATATAACAGTGGTAATTGTTGCTCTATATGATATGAATTGAATTGATTAATATTGTACGACATAATTGATAAATTCTTACCTTTTGTAGTTACAGAAAAAATGAGTCTTCCAAAGGTCGATAAAACAGTAGGGCCAAAATATTTCCACCTGATGGGTTTGCCGTCTTTGATCGGAAGGGTTTGCTTGTATGATTGAATACTACGCCCCGAGGAAACTATTATTTCCCTGGAAAAATAATTGTTAGCAATTCTAATAAGCACCATAATGCTACATAAAAATATTGACATAACGTGTCATAACACGGTGTTTTGTATGCGTTCAGATGATTTTTTTCTGTGTCCAGTTTTCTAGTGTTTTTTTTTTTCAAAGCAAATTTTCTTCGTGTACTATTTGGTCTATCAATATTTCTATGGAAATAAAATTCTGAAAATTGTTCTATTAAGTAAGGCATTGTGTTATAAAAGGTCTTAAGAATCCACTAAATAAATATTGTGTTTTGAAAACTTTTAGACCTTTGTTTGTTTGTCTTCATATTTCTTTTTGTTACAATCTATGAGGCCTTTATTTGTATGGAAGACACTTCCTTTTCTTTATGCCAGTGTCTTTTGACTTTACAGACCTGTTTGAAATTTTTCAATTTCCCGTTCGTCCTTATCACTGCCGAAATTTGGTGAAATCTTGCGATCAACTCGGCGTAAAACAACAATAAATACTCACTCTTATTGATTATGTAAAAACAAACAACGGCTATAAAATGTTTTGTAAAACTTATGGACAAAAAGAGTGTTGACAAAGAAAATGGGGGAACGTTAACAAGGCGGGCAGAATGCCTATAGCGTCGGATATCAAGAAATCAATATGTAAATTGAGTATTTGAATTAACTTCTCATTATTGAAATTTATGAAACTATGAGAAAAAAAATCTCGTATTTTTTTTCTTTTATAAAAATATTAGATGGTATTCGTGGGATTCGAACCCTAGCAATAAAAATCTAATGTATCATATACTATAACAGCTTTGAGACCAACCACCACTAACCACTGTGCTACATGGCTCATAGAGACTTCGGGCATTTAAATCATGTTTGTTATATGACCCTTGACTTAATGGACTTCAAGTATTTATCTGAAAGATGCGAATGTTTTGTCATAAAAGTGTACTTTTCAGGTATAGTAGGTCTTCACTCCATGTTTTTGTAAACCAAAAAATGTATATTTTATTGAAAACTTTTAGGATTATCTTTCAAAAAAAATAAAGCGAAGACCCACTCATATTGAAAAATACTGTCAAAGTACGAGAAAATGATCGTTTTTGTTCTTTTAGTGTGTGTTTACTTTTTCATTGACACATATTTTTAGTCTCTGTAAATTATTTGGAAATTGTAGAGATTTTACATTAAGTATACTTTAATATTAGATGAAATATCAAATAAAATTTTGATATAATTGAGATTAATTTTTTTTTCACTTCTTATCTGTCGCACTATAGGCACTTTGTCCGCCTTATCCTCCTATCTTCTTTGTGAGCTTTTCAACATTTTGACTCTGATTTCACGATTTACTTTTAGGTTCGAATATTCAACATACATTTTGATTGATAAACTCAACAATCGAAGAAATGAGTTTGCATTTTTTCAAGAAAAATGAAAAAATATATAATAAATACAATCGTTACAACTGTAAACCACATTGAATGAAATAGGATATTGTTATGATTAAAATGCATACACAAGTTAAAAAAAAAAAAAAAAAATAAGTTTGATATTATAATACAAGTTTTGATTTTCAGTATTTTTTCATGTACCGCTTCTACCTGTTTTACCACTTTAATTACTCTCTCAATTTATTTTCATTAAAAAAAAAATCTAATAAAAATAAGCGTTTGATAATGATTTTTAGATAAGCGTTTATTTTTGGATCAAATTTGTCATCTTTAATAATTATTGTCTTATTAGAAAAGAACTCATACCTTACATTCATGTTTTGTATTTCATAGGCTGGTAAATTTTATTTAAAACGTACCATTTAGTTTTTCTCGAGCTTAAACGATTGAAAGAAACACTGCATACGTACCATTGAAGTTTTTTCTGTAGTATCAGGTTTCGTGAATCTTTTTTTATAGTTATATCTGCAGGCATTTTGAATCCCACTGCACCATTTCTTGGATAGGAGTTAAGATAAAGAAAGTCTGCTTTTGAAGACACTTTGTAACTTATTCGACTGTCATCCCTATTTTTCCCAAAATCAATAGTTGTTTTGCATGACTTGCTGTAGAAGTTAACATGGATGGCTTTCTTTGCTGCATTAACGTTTTTGATCCGGGATTGCAAGGTTGATGAAAATGGAGAAAAACTCGACTCTTCCACAAACCAGTTAGGATCATTGTCTGAATAATGAAAAGTTTAATAACCTTTCTAGTTATTATTTCTAAATCAGACTGCGACGCTACCATTTAAGGGCTAAATATTCAGGAGACAACCAAAACTTGAATATTTTCTATTCGAAGGCGTTGATTTAAGCCTCGTGAAAACTCAGAAATATGCCAAACGTTTAAATCTCTACCTAACGGTAATCTAACAAATCTGTATTAATAAGCGTGATGTCTTCAAATTTTCATTTTCAGACAACTTCCCTTACTTGTGTAGCGATATACTATCATCACTTGGATGAAGAGTTTATTTTGTAATTGACTCGATACACAAGGGAATACTCTACGTTCGAGCAATTTCTAAAACAAGACATTGACTAACAAGTTGATAAAATAGGGATATAAAAAATCACGTTTATGGTAATCAATTTTCAAGTGGTATGGTTGATACAATCACCTTGTCAGCAAGTATAATCTATCACGAAGTCAATTCTAAAACTAATTGTAGGACAATTTTTACGTACTTAATTGTTTATGAATTTTTCCGTACATCCCGATCATGACAATCGTTATCTTCATACGATAATATAAAATATAACCAAAAAAAGAATGAAAAATAATCATTTAATTATCATAAACCAGAAATTATTTATCACAAAATATTTCCCTAGACGCCATCTTTCAAATAGCATACACGGTAACTCTTGAAACGTCGACTATTTCCGTGTCGCCGATATATTTAAGGAATCACTGTCTAGTTAGTATAGTATGCCAGGGCATCAACGATTGTGGGAAACATGGGATAAATTATGCATAACGGGCTCGCCCACTATGTTAGCTCATGTTTCCCACTATCATTGATGTCCCTGGCATACTATACTAAATAGACAGTGATTCCTTATATTTCCATTTCTTTGTGAAATAAAATCACAGATTTAGACTTTAAAAATGTAGACATAGATCTAAATTATTCCCATGCCAATTTCAATACTGTATACAGGGTTATTTTCGCCCCGTCTTATTTTCGCCCTTTCACACTTGCAAACAATTTTGCCCCGTTTTAAATTCGCCCAGTCATAGTTTTGTTTAAGAAATTATACTGTATTCTTTGAATTCGCCCCGTTTTAAATTCGCCCAAATGATAGTAGGGCGAAAGGGGCGAAAATAAAACGGGGGGCAAAAATTTCCCTGTATACAGTAGTCCTCGCCCATTGACGTCAAGCACAAAAGCAACCGCACGAGATTTGCATGCATATTAGGCCTCCTTAGCTCCTTTGGACCTGTCTAATTTAAATTCCGGTACAATGATCAAGAAATCAACTCTGCTAACTTTCAAAGAGTTATCACAGAGAAAAAAAATAGAAAAGAAAATATTGAACAATTAACGGCTTATTATTTGTGACGTCCGAGTACACGTAGTAGTAACGTTGTAGTCTAACAATTCATATGTTGGACTGACAGACCTGAATATATATAGAGAGTTATATAAGTGTGGATGTATATTGAACTTACAAAGAACGGGAACTCCGTCGACAAACCACATGGATGGCACATAAACTTTATCTTTGTTGGTGTAACTCACGGAACAACTGGCTCCGTAGTCTTCCATGGATATAGTATCGGGGAGAAAACCGTAATATCCCTCATTTGTTGCACCTGACAATATTTCCTGAAAAATAAATATTTCAAAAGAATAAAAAAAAAAGAACATGGAGAAACAATGCGCGCAGGATGCCTATGGCTTCAGATATTTTTTTAAAATCATATTCAATTTGTGAATTGAGTTTTTAAATCAAGTTCGCATTATTGAAATTTATGAAATTATGATAAACAAAACTTTTCTGAGAAAAAATATTCTTTTATTAAAATATATGATGGTATTCGTGGGATACGAACCCTAGCAATAAAAAATCGGTTCTATCATATTTCTTTGAGACTACGCTACACGTCTAAAATAGAAATAATAATATAAATAGAATAAGAATTAAAATTAATCTGAAATCAGTATTCAGGAAAGTATATATTTTTAAAAACTTTAATTGTTTTTCCTTGTTCAAGAAAAATCGGGAAATATTCCTACATACCTTTAATAATAATAGTAATACTACTGTGCACAGCAATGCTTTTTCCATGTTTCTCTGAATGATGGAAAAACACAATGAGTCTGAAGTTAACACTCAGAATTATTTCTATACATTCAGAGGGATTTTTAAATAATGAGATCATAAGTGTCCTCCCGCGCTATATACGACTATTATACATGTACAATTATAATCCATTGTTTAAATGTCAGTTGACAAATTTTTCGAAATTAAATGCTTGTTATACAAAATTCAGAAAAGTTCCTCTGACGATTGCAAGAAAAATAAAGGGCAAAGTTTATTTAAAAGGACAAGAGATATGTCCATAAATGAATACATTTGCTACATGTAAGTACTTATAATATTAAAGTTGTTTTTTTTTAAATTTGGGTAAATTGTGAATATCTTGTGATAAAACTTCCCACGGGCAAATGAATTTTGAATATTCAGATTTAAACTTTATTTCCTTTTGATAAGTCATCATATGTACACAATAAATTATACATTCATGATTCCGATACAAATTGATAAAAGTTATTTTAATTCCTTTCTTAACGAAATAGATGATTGAATTAAAGCTTCTAAATAAAGCCTTCTTTTATTTCTAGAAGAGTATATTTAAAAGGATACCCCGGAATTCTTCAGTATCTTTTAATATGAAGCCTTCTCTCCATCCTGTACTTCATTCTGTTGCTTTGACCCTTAATCTAAGAACCTCGAACTTAAATTGCATTGCCTATGGATAATTTCTTCCATTTGAATATGATTAATAAGAGCTATGATCCTCTGAAGAATATTTTTTTCAATGTTTTTTTTTTCAAATATTCTAGTGAAACTTCTCAAGAGATATGCCAATTAACATACTCACAGGAGTCATGACGTGAAAATATTGAATCAACATTTCAGTGCGATGCTTAAATTTTCATTGCTAGTACAATATGACTCCGTATTTTCCTGCAATTCTTGGAAAAAAAATTTCAAAGACTGTTTCTTTACACACCAATAAATGTTTATTCTTTATTGCAGGCCTATTTCCTTCCTGGTGATTTGATCTAAAGTCCTATCCTTCTCTTGAGGCGGGGGGGGGGGTATGAACAAAAAAACTGTTGTATGTCACCTTGATATGTTACCTTCACGATTTACCTGTTAAACTTTGATCCCCCTATTTCTGTTCCATCCCCTGTCGACCACTCACATCATGATCATAATCGGGAAATAACCTATATCTCCGTCGGAAAGTCAGTGTGTCCTAACTGTAACAATTCACTGACATAACTGTAACAATTAGTATGAAAAACAACAGTCAGCATTTGACTTAATGATAAGTTGTACTTACTAAAAAGGTCCTTTGATCGACCAAAGACCTTACGAATGATGACTTGAGACTGATGGTAATCTTGTTTATCATTAAATTACCTCGGTTTAGATTAGAAATCTTCTTAGGTACATCATGCTCCTGCATATCGCATCATTAAGAGATTAAAACACTGTATGCATGTGATAAAGATATATTGCCGAATAAGTAAGGGAAGTTGAGATTGAAAATTTAAACTCATCACTTTTATCATTAGGCTTTGTTGTTAGATTACCATTAACTTCTCTTTCTAATAAAATATCTAAATATGAAACATTTGTGTCAGACTTTATGGTATCCTTTATTTCAAGCTCAACGGGATATATTGTTTCGACATAAGAATGGAAATAACCATTAATTGTTAATTGAAACTACTTCTTCGATATATCATGTCGAATTGAAGGTAAAGCAGGTGTTTTCTTCTTTTCACGTATATTTTGAACAAATTCTTCTTCATATGTCTGCTTATAACGGGGCGTAATTGGTACCCATAGGAATTCCAAAAAAGTGTTCGAAGACCTAGTCTTCAAAAACTATATAGATATTGTCAATCAGAAACATCTTTTTGCTTCTTTTTAATATCAACTTCAGAGTGCTTTTGTGTATAATCAGAGCAATTTTGCAGATGACCAAAGACAAGGTAAGTGAATATTCTTTACGAGATCCATTGTTATTTAAATAAAAGCAGCTGTCAGGTCTATACTTTAATTTATCGTGGGGAATGGTTGTATATAGCGCTGAAAAGTCGTAAGTTAATTTATGTTGTTGATTTTAGTTAAATATTGTGATTTCAAATTTAATTTTCCAAACTTTCCTCTGATTTCTTAAGTAACAACATCTGATTAATACCACTTCTCAAATATAGCGTAGCACAGTACTAGTAATTTCTCCATCACTACTGAATAATAATACCGAGGAGTAAAGCAAGAGGCTTGTTAGAACATTTACTGGAACCCGGTATGTATCTTTGTCTGTACTGATATTTATGAAGTTTATCCAAATTAGATATGGTGTTTCAAATTCGTTCTGGTAGATAGGACAATTATTCAAAACTCACATACGATGTAAAAGAATTTTCTCCTTAGAAAGGGGGCTATGAGTAAAAGTTGAAGTTAAACCAGAGTTCCACCACTTAAATACAATTTAAATACTGAGCTTTACAAACAAAGTCAGTGTTACTACCTGCCTTGATAGCTGGTACCAGTATGTACTGATCGTGTAATCTATCTACATCGAATTCTTTTTTTTTTTTTACTTCTGGACTATTGAACACGGAAGAATAGATGGTTTTCATATTGCCCCTCAATCCATGCCCATTGGCTGGTACCTTCAATTCGAAAGCGGTCCAGTTCAAATGTTTTTTTCTCCTGACATCATTCATATATATTTTCTGGTAGAGAACATCTAAAAAAAAAACGATTAAATACACTTTAAAGGCATTCCAGCCTTGTAGTCAGTCCTACTTAATATTTGTTTTTGGTCTTATACTTACCATTTTTACAGTTGTAATAATGTTAGTAATAGACTTTTATTAGCTCACCTGAGCCGAAGGCTCAAGTGAGCTTTTCTGATCACATTTTGTCCGTCGTCCGTCCGTCTGTCCGTCTGTCTGTCCGTCTGTCTGTCTGTCTGTCCGTCTGTCTGTCTGTCTGTCCGTCTGTAAACTTTTCACATTTTCGACTTCTTCTCAAGAACCACTGGGCCAATTTTGACCAAACTTGGTACAAAGCATCCTTGGGTAAAGGGAAATTTAAATTGTTAAAATAAAGGGCCAAGTCCTCTCACAAGGGGAGATAATCAAGAAAAGACAAAAATAGGGTAGGGTCATTAAAAAATCTTCTTCTCAAGAACCACTGGGTCAGAAAAGCTGAAACTTATGTGGAAGCATCCTAGGGTAGTGTAGATTCTAAATTGTTCAAATCATGACCCCCGGGGGAAGGGTGGGGCCACAATGGGGAATCAAAGTTTTACATAGAAATATATAGAAAAAATCTTTGAAAATCTTCTTCTCAAGAGCCACTGGGCCAGAAAAGCTGAAACTTATATGGAAGCAGGGGTAGTGTAGATTCTAAATTGTTCAAATCATGACCCCCGGGGGGAAGGCGGGGCCACAATGGGGATCAAAGTTTTACATCGAAATATATAGGAAAAATCTTTGAAAATCTTCTTCTAAAGAACCACTGGGCCAGAAAAGCTGAAACTTATGTGGAAGCATCCTAGTATAGTGTAGATTCTGAATTGTTCAAATCATGACCCCCCAGGGAAGGGCGGAGCCACAATGGGGAATCAAAGTTTTACATCGAAATATATAGGAAAACTCTTTGAAAATCTTCTTCTCAAGAGCCACTGGGCCAGAAAAGCTGAAACTTATATGGAAGCAGGGGTAGTGTAGATTCTAAGTTGTTCAAATCATGGCCCCCGGGGGAAGGGCGGGGCCACAATGGGAAATTAAAGTTTTACATAGGAATATATAGGAAAAATCTTTGAAAATCTTCTTCTCAAGAACCACTGGGCCAGAAAAGCTGAAACTTATGTGGAAGCATCCTGGTATAGTGTAGATTCTAAATTGTTCAAATCATGACCCCCGGAGGAAGGGTGGGGCCAATTGGAAATCAAAGTTTTACATCGAAATATATAGGAAAAATCTTTGAAAATCTTCTTCTCAAGAGCCACTGGGCCAGAAAAGCTGAAACTTATGTGCACATGGAAGGATCCTTGGGTAGTGTAGATTTCAAAATGTCTAAATTATGATCAGTGGGGTAGAATGGGGATGCATTATGTATTACAAGGGGGAAGTCTGGTAAAAAACAGAATGGTCAAAGCTTCTCAGGTTAGCGATGTGGCCCATGGGCCTCTTGTACGCAGTTAGTAATTTATTGGTGGGGGAAGTATGAAGTTGGACCGCGAACATTTTTTATCTGTTTTACTGCCTTTTTTATTTTCTGTGATTAAATATTAAAGACCTATCATCTGGACTTTTAATGGATAACGTATCGCTTCCTCTATTTCACACATTTCTTAAAGTTCACACCGACCTACATTGTAGTTTATAAATGGTGAAAATAACACCAAGATGTATCATTATGCACCACAAATCCCTTTAAAATTTTACACATTTGCATCAAACGTTACTCTTTCCCTTTAATAAGAAGATGGGGGGATAAGGCGGACGAAGTGCCTATAGTGCGACAGATAAGAAGTGGAAAAGTTAATCTCAATTATATCCAATTTTTATTTGATATTTAATATTAAAGTATACTTAATGTAAAATCTCTACAATTTACAAAATTCACACAAAGACTGAAAATATTTGCCCATGAAAAAGCATACACACACTAAAAAGAACAAAAAACGATCATTTTCTCATACTTTAACAACTTTTTTCAATATGAGTGGGTCTTCGCTCCATTTTTAAAAAGATAATCCTAAAAGTTTGCAATAAAATGTATTTTTTTTGGTTTACAAAAACATGGAGACAAGACCCACTATACCCACTATACCTTAATACACTTTTATGACAAAACTTTCGTAGATTTCCGAGAAAGTCCATTAAGTCAAGGATCATATCACAACCTTGATTTGAATGCCCAAAATCATCATAAGCCATGTAGCACAGTGGTTAGCGCGTTAGTATCAAATCTGTAAGATACGTCGGATTTTTACTGCTAGGGTTCGAACCCCACGAATATCATCTTATATTTTTATAAAAGAAATTTTTTACGAGATTTTTTTTTCTCTCAGAAAAGTTTTTTTTTCTCATAATTTCATAACTT